GTTCAGTTCGACATTCCAACCACCTGAAGAAGACCTTAGCGTACAACGACCGAAACGTTGTAATAAATATGGCGACAAAGATGAGGACAATCGTCTGAATAATGTAAATAGTGTACATAATACATCATCTCAGAAATATAGACAGATACTTATTTTTTATTTTCTTTTTTTTTTGACAAAAATTGTCAGTGGAAATGTTATGAAGCCATATTTGACCTTAGGTCTTTGGCTGGGACTGGGAAGGATATATGTATACAATAGAAATCAAAGGAAATAATAATAATGTAACCAATGAGTTTTTTTATTTTTTTAGAAGGATCATTTATGGCGGGTGAAAATGAGGGAGTACTTGCCAGGTTACGTTAGCTTGGCATTAAAAGCCTCGTTGTTATAGAAATCTAAGAATGAGACCAATATTCTTGGCATGACCAATGGGTGGAAATGAAGACAGAATGTCTTTGGTCACCTGGGCTTTGGACGGAAGGAGCGGGAACGAAAAGACAGATAAAAGCTGAAAGGTTGATAGTGATTACTTCTTCTATTAATATTAAAATTAGGAAGATCAGTCTTAATCCACCTTACCTATTGATTAAAATGAAGGACTTTTCTCCATGACAGGAATCGGCCAAAGTTTGTCAAGCTTGATTAACTATGTCCAAAAGAAGGAATACATGCTGGACTGTTGTATTAAGAAAAACATGCAATCATGACGACGCCGGACATCTGAATAAAATTGATATAAGATCGAGCAGAATAATATTTGTTTAGCAACAACCATTCAACAATAAATTATGTACCGTAAGGTTGATTAAAAATATGCTAAAAATATATCGATGCACAAAAGTATTTACTCATCCTAGCTAAGCCTGACAAAAGGTCGCAGGGGGCGCTCAGTGAATATTATTTTGTTAGTGGACACAGTCATAAGGATTAGAGGTACGCATGTGACATGTAGATGACACACAGAAACACAAATAAAGGAAGTACTAGACAGTGTAATAAAGAAAAGCGGATAGAAACTGCAAGAATATTGCAAGTCTAGTCGTAAGAAATTTGATAAGTCCAACATGAAATGTACGAATTAAAGACGCTGGATGAAGTAATTTATGAAATTTATCTGGAGAATGTTTTAAAAGCAACAGAAAATGTGGCACCAGAAATCTGCATAGTATTGATTTATTTTTTTACGGTTTATCAACCCTTTGCATGTTATTTTGTTAGAAACCATTTTATATTGCAAGAATTATTTTTGGAGATCATAATGATTCATTGATACAAGTGCTACTCATAGCTGGGATTAAAACAGGTGGATTCCTACCTTTCCGAAACATACTTGTAAGTAAGCGAATATAACGAACCTGACTGGAATTGGAACTCGGCTCTCCGAATTCCAATTTCGAGCCGTTATCCATTACACCACCTTCACGTCAAACGTTACTGAAATTATCAAGCAGTCACCCCTCTATGTTTTGATCAGGGTGGATGTTGTTTAACTTTCCTGGTCGCAGGAGTTCTTTCAACGTGATATGGCTGTAATCCAAGAATACTTAAGTTGCCTTCCAAAGGCTGAACAACAACGTTGAGATTAATCAGTTGACCGTTTACAAATACTACGTGCTGTAAGAGTGGATGTGAGGGTGGTGTAATGGATAACGGCTCGGAATTGGAAATCGGTGAACCGAGTTCTAATTCTAATCGGATTCGTTATACGCACAAATATCACTGAGAAGAGTATAAATCCACCTCTACACTCCCCTGCTATGGGTTAATTAGTACCGCTTCACACAAGGAATTATCATTATCTAAAAAATATTCTTACAATCTAAAAATATTTGTTGGCTTTAAATAACCTGCAAAGGGTTGACAAGTCATAAAAAACAAGCCAATCAATCAAAATCTAACCAAAATATTAAGAAAGACTGAAATCTAGTTAGAAGAAAGAAAATAGTTTTGAACAGCTCTGTAATATAAATCCTTATATATGGCACTGAGTAATGGACAAATTTTTCACGAATGGACGGTATGGTTGTTATTGAAACTGCCCATGAATTAATGAGCAATTATCGTTTAATCACGAATCTGAAGATCAATTTATATTGTGAAACTCTCAGTAACACCAAAGAATATGTTAATATCAGGGCTTAAACGTTTTTGAAAGTTTTAATATCGATTTTAATCACCATTCTATATTTTAAAGTAGCGTTATTTCTGGTATTCTATGTGCGTGTGTATACGCCTGTCTGTGCGTTTGATTCTGTATGTATAATATGTTACATAGATCAGGCGAAGAACGATTATTGAGCCTTCTGTTCATTTTCGCTCGGTGCTAAATTCGTCTCTTTATTTTCTGGTGGAAATTTTTTTTGCACTAATTAGATCTTAGGATACGAGGTCCGTTCGCCACGTCGTTGGACGTTTTGAAAGAACGATGATTGGAAGCTCGTAAATAGATAATATGGCGTTTGCACTGTTGTCAATTTAAAGTTAGAAAGGAACGTGCGTTCATTGACTATGAAATGAAATTTAGCGCCACGTGTCAAATATAACTGTCTGTTTAAAGTCATTCTAGCACATGGGTCAGCTTGGTTAAAACATTTGATTAATAGTGGGCTGCTTTCTTTTAATTTAAACAAACTCTAGCATTTGCAATCGTTTTTCATTTCTTCTTTTGCATGTAAAGTAAAAAAAAGTTATTGAATAAATAATCGCTGTGTATATGTGTATATACGTGTGCATTGCACATTGTTCAGAGATATGAGGCTAATCTCGAGAAAAATAACAAATGTATGTTGCTATTTTGTTATCTACACAGTCTTCTAAAGCGGGACTTGGCAACCTTTTGCTATGTGCTGACTTAGGCTTTTAAAATCATTCAATGTACCAACAGCATACGGATTTTATACAAGTCAAGGTCAATATACTTGTAGAGGCCTGGAATGGAACTGAGTTCCAATAGACGTTCAAAAGAAGGAGTCTATCTGCTTGGTTAAGATGAAATGTTACTCCCTTAGTTTTGAAGGTATTTGCGTTTATCATGTGCATGACATTCTATTCGACATCGTTTGATTGTCGAGGTGCTCCACGGCAGAGACAGTCTAAAGCATGGTTTGGCAACCTTTTGTTAACTATGTGCTGACTTAGGCTTTTAAAATCATTCAGTTGGCTAACAGCATACGTATTTTTATACAAGTCAAAGTCAATATATCTGTTCTACAATATATTTTATATTGTAATATATCGTATATATATATTAGTATATACTAAAATTGAAAGCTGAATATCATTATCATGCGTTGTAGTAGTTACTGGCTCAGACTTCGTGATGTCATTTGTTACTGCGTGCCATTGGATCTTGTAGGTTTCCGACCTCTGTTCCAAAGGACAAGAGATGAAGCACACATTTTTAAGAAATTTTCTAGTAACAAAACTGAAAATATCATTTTTTTATAGTGCTTCATGAATCATAAGCAGTCATTACTGCTAAGTAATGAATCCATAGATTATATTATTAAATGCATTTTCTTAATTTATGTAATTTTACTTCAATAGGTGATAATAAAATGAGTTAATAGCACTTTTTTGTAGCTTAAACCTTGATTGTTTTATGTTAATATGATTAGTTATCTGTGAATTAATTTTATTTGTCCAAAAACGATCTCATTAGGGAATCCGTTATTACTAAGTGTTTGTTTAAAACTCAATAATTGTTTATAGAAAATTGTTTTACATAGATTAATTTAACGCAGATAATAAGTTTTTGAATTTTATGACTTTATCAGCAATGTGAATTCACTTTGATGTTTTCTCAGTCAGGAAATAATGCGAATAGGTTTTGTACTTTGAAGTAAAGAAATTCTGATTATTAGACAAAGTAAGGTTTTTGGTGCTGCAGTTTCATATGTAAGACTAAGTACGAAATTAATTTCAAATATATATATATATATATATATATATATATATATATATATATATATATATTAATTTTAATTTTTTTTTTTCAAGGTAGTAAAGTCACGAAACTCAGTGGGGTTAAAGGGTATGAAAAGAATTAGGAACGAAAACATTAATGATGAAAGGGAAGAGGAAAGCGTAATCAGGGGCACAGTAGATAGCGATTGATATTGAGTTTAAATTTTTGCAGATTAACGTTAGCTGGAAAGCATGTAGCCAGTTCCACAAACGAGAAATGCGGGAAAAACCTGTTAGCATAGAACTTTCGGTTACATCTAGCCAGCTCAAATATAAATTGATGAGATCTCGACACAAGTCTAGTGCTGCGCTTAAATTAAAAACGTCTACGTACCATAGCCAATAGCTGATTCGAACAGTGACCATGAAAGTATTTATAGAAAAGTACAGGGGAGAATATTAGGCGGTAAGAAAATGAGTGAAGCCGAGCTGCCAGATCAGGACCTATGATACTGCTGATTATTCGTTGGATTTTATCAAGGATCCCAAGGTAAATAGCAGGAGCACCGGAGTTTATATGGCAGCAATATTCGAAGCATGGACGAATTGTGGACTTATAGATATGTAAAATAGATTCTGGAGAGAAAAATTGTATCGCCCGATAGCGTGAACCAACTTTCTTAGCAACTGACCTAGCAACGGATTCAAGATAGTCTTTCCACTTCATGTCAGCTGAGAACCTTAGCCTGAGAAGGAGCAACGTGTCACTCTTCTGGAGGTTAGCATTAACCATGCTGATGGAAGACAGAGAAGACCTTCGATAATGATTAATGGAGGACAGTTTAGTTTTAGAGGCGTTAAAACTTTACTTATTCTCTAATCAAGATCTTTTGACAGAAGGAATGTTTCGTCAGTATAGCGGAAGTATATAGAGTGTTTGCCAGGATGAGAATTTTATTTCCGCGGTAGGTCCTATTATAATATAAGAAGCATGGTCCAAATGGAGATCTCATAGACATACCATCAGTCTGTACGTATATATTTTCAAGTAAGATTTAACTGTAAGCTTGGATGCGCCGGCAGAATTGTCTAGCGACTTTATCACGTTGAAACACCGATTCCCATACGAGCTCTGAAGTTAAGCAGCGTCGAGTCTGTTTAGTAGTTGTATGGGTGACAGCTTTGGAAGACATGTAAGCTTACATGTGCAGATGATGCAAATGGTAAAAGCCGAGAATTCTTAATCAGAGAACCGAGTTGGGTTCGTTTTTTTCACTTAACAAATACTCTTTGGAAAGGTACGAATACACATCCTTTCTCCCCAGCTACGGATTAATCAATAAGACCTGTATCATAATTTATTTTATATAAAAAAAAAATCCTTCATATGTAAAAATATTTTCTGGCTTTAAATAAACCAGGAAAAAACGAATCAATCAATTGCACGTTAGTGCAAGAAAAATCTATTGAATTTATTAACAGATATCATTTTTATTTATTCAATAATTTCGATAGTGTCAACGACGAAATTGTTAGCAAAGTTAAGTGGAGGAAGAATTTGGTTGATTTAACTGTCAGTAGATTCTAAATTCGCCATTAGTGTTTATTAATTATTTATTACGTAACTATGGTGCTATGAATTATCTAACAAGTTTCATAACTGGTAAACGCGTGTTATACATTTGAGGCATAACGGGATGTAAACGAGAAGCAATTTTGAAGAATTTGACGTTACATTCAAAAGAAGAAAATTGATTATGGCCAAATATTTTCTTGAATTTAATAGGCTGAACCTCTGCACTTACAGCCGTCATCAGTTTGGTGACACTTCATTTGTTTTGAAATATTCTTTAGTCCACATTTTTCATTTGTGTTGAAACTTGACTAATGCATGGAATAATAATGCAACACAAAATGTACTTAGAACAAAATGTATTGAAACAAGAAAGTGTACACAATATTTACATATAATCTTTTGTATATTCCTGGTAAGACCGTTCCTGGAGAATGTGTTGACTGAGTCGCAGTCGGGCAGAGTCTCTGGTTGAATCTCTTGATTCCTCTCTCTCTTCCGGGTATCAACCATATTTATATGGTCGGTACTCCACTATGCAAATTAGGTGGATCCTACCACAACAATTTGCCATGTTGAATAAAACGTATTTAAATAAACGATTGCTCTAAGACGCCATCGATGATGCTCCCCATCAACATCCTGGCATTTGCTTATCTGAGGAACCATTCACTCTTTTCCATCCTTCTTCATTCCTGCTTTTTCGTCTCTTGACGCCAAATCATAAGACATGCTTCGTTATTTCCTACTTCCTTCTTTCTATAAATGTGAGCTCTGAATATTTCGATCTCAAAGACGCCTCGACTATTATCATTGTTTTTATCTCGCTTCATGTCTGTTGTTTCAAGGTCAGAAATGGCATCATGACATTTTCCATTGAGCCGTTTTGAAAAAGAAATTCACACATGATAAAGCTCTTCCCAAGATGTGGGCTTTACTTGTGAGAAAAATCTTTTGCAATTCTTTAAGGCATGGACTTCCAGGAATCCTTTCAGTGCGTCTATTGGAATATTTTCCAATCATTACGAGGAATCAATTACAACTGGAAGTGTTAATGTCCTCATGCACCACGTTTTTGAGATTTCGATTTCAAGGTCCTGTTGTTTGAAGATCTCCATAGATACATTGCAACCTGCAGGGATGGTCATGTCAATAAGAAAGGCACATTTTGTTTTATGCTGTCTCTGTTGTGCTTTATTGTTGTTGTTGTCCTTATTATTATTATTATTATTATTATTATTATTGTTATTAAAGTGGGTGAATTCCATCTACCGGCTTTTCTATTCAAGTGTATTATAAAAGAAAATATGACCACCCAAGGAAGAATTCGAACCGGCGAGGAAACCACCGTCCTCAAAGAGGGATACATGTTCGTGTGCACAGGCGCGTACATGTAATTCACACTGTTTAATAAGTAAATAGATAAAGACTTGCATTTTATTCAAACACGGGTATCCACTTAAATATGGCATTTGAAGAAAGAAGAAATAATGTCGAATTAAAAATAAAAAATCCAGTCATTCCTTATATATATATATATATATATATATATATATATATATATATATATATATATATATATATATATATATAATAAAAAAAGGCTTAAACACTAATATTCCATGGTCATAATTTATTCCATTGGAATCGTAAATACGATCCAATCCATCAGACCAACAAATATAAAATGAAAACAGAAAAAAACCACTCCGGAAGTGAAAACAGAATTTAGAGAAAGTGTAAATATGAGGAGGGGGGAGATTGAACCTTAACAGAGAGAATTTTAGGAGAGGTGGTGGGGAGGGTTTTAGATAAGAGAAGAGAAAGAATGTCGGCGGATGTCTAATGCATAAAGATACATTTCGTGGTAACATACACACACCATCGACAATTTAATGCAAGAATAATCGGGAGGGGAAGGGAAAGAGGAGGTAGGGGAGAGATGGGACGAAGGAAAGTAAAATTGCGTTTACTTAAAGGGCCGCTTTAATATCGACTACATATATATATATATATCAGTAACGAAAATTTTGGTAATCCGTATGCATAATCCCGAGGAGGATGAAGTCTTGAGAGCTCAACATTAAGTCAGAACGAATAATTTAATTTAAAGAAAAACAGACCACTTTAAGGCTCCATTAGTTATAATTTATTTCAACAGAGAATTTTATTTTTCTCTGGATCTTCAGACTTCACTTTCAAAGGTGAAAAGAAATATATATATATATATATTTGTATCTGTGTCTATCTGTGTGTGTCTGTGTGCATGTTTATATCTATGTGTAAGATGGCATGTGTATGTGTATATTTGTATCTGTGTGTATCTGTGTGTGTCTGTGGGCATGTTTATATTTGTGTGTAAGATGGCATATACTAATACATAATATCGCAACTTTGTTATTAATGATAAAAGCAAACTTCAATCATTTAGCGGATATTTAAAAAATTAATTACGATTAATGTACGCAATTCTACTTATTTGAAACTCAGTATGAGGTAATGGTTAACAAGGCTAGTCCGATTGACAATTATTGCTGAAGAGAAAATCATAAATGCATGGCCTAGAAGAAAATATGAAATTAAATAATTCAACCACGGTTGATTTGTAAATTCAATCACCCTTACAAAACATAGCTTTATATCTGTTTAAATTTTAAAATTCATTAAAACGTTAGATTACAGAAAATATTTTCACATTTTTTAAGTTTATAAGGTAATTGAAAATTATGTAAAAAGGCTCGCACGTTATATTCCTCAATGAAGTTTTACAAATATGCTGACTGTAGAAAAAAAATGATAAGCTACTGTCTGTCTGTGAAGTTGTGAAGCTGTCAACACCTTAAATAGACACTTAACCTCCGTGTTAATGCATTTCTGAAATATTTTAAACTAAATTAACATTTGTTTCAAATCAGATTGATCAAATTTTAAATCAGCTAGAAATTCAAATAGCGTTCCAGAAAATTATATTTTATTTTTGAAATATTTTTTTTAATAAAGCGAATTACGTTGTGCTGACAGATGCCTGAAAAAGGTTTTAAAATCAGCGATTTTTAGCGATTTCTAAACAAACACTCCTTTCTTTTAATTTAAATTACTTCTGAAATGCATGAAATTATTGGATTATCGGAATTATTAAATGTAGTCCATGAACTTGAAATTAAAGTAAAAATGAAATGTTCAAGAAAGATTTTTCATTTTCAGAATGAAACCTTAGGTATCTCATTTTTGTGGAGGTACCGATATATATATATATATATATATATATATATATATTTGTTCTCTCGTATGTGTGTCATTGCGCGTAGTACATAAGCACCGATTAACATTAGAAAATAAATATTCTTGAATAAAAGTGATGTGTTACGATCATTCTAAATTCGTTGTCCATCACCAGTGCGTTGTTGGTGTGTGATGATTTAATATCGTCTTCAAAAGAAGTGAATAGAGACACTTACATATAGCCTAGAATATATCATACAATTCTTGTATGAAACAGCCATTCCCTAAGGAAATATTCTATCAAAAGGATAACCCCAAATAACCATGCCGATAAAATACTCAAACACATCATATCATTTAAGTTGAAGCAATCATAGCAAAATTAGATTCTTTTGAAAAGAAACCAGGTTTTCATTCATTATTTTTTTTACTAGAATTTTCTTTCATATTGATTCTTTTAGTTGCGTTTAATCAGAAATCCCAGTCAGTCGATCTACGTCGGTGGGTGCGAACACACGTAGATTAAAAATAAACGCACAGTCGATTTGATGGCTTCGCTTGTAGAAGCTCCGTTAACCGTATCAGTTAATCTTATCATCTGAGCTAAAGCGAACTTCACAGATGGCTGGATATGAAATGTAACCTTTTAAGAATACCCTTCACTCGTTCACGATCTACATATACCATAGTTTTGTATTTACTATAACAATATGAATAACAATATATATATATATATATATATATATATATATATATATATATATATATATATATATATATATATATATATATATATATATATATAAATATAGTGTTAAGGTATGATATATTTATGAGTAAAAGTGGTCAATATGAGGAAGAGAGCGTATGTACATATAAAATTGAACACTAAGGTCAACACTGAAGGGCGACAGTCTATTTCATGCTTGAACGCAAAGTTCAGGCCATGTGTTTAACTTTTGGCTCAAATATTTATATTTGCCGGATTTTTCAAATATTTCCTTTCATAAGACAAAATACACCACCATAAAAAAGAAAAAAAAAAGAAAACGGTTTCTTTGAAGCATTATATTATTTATAATAAATAAATACATACATAATTCACCAAATTAAAATGAAATAATAAATAATCATAATATTAATAAACAAGTAAATATATATGTATATATATATATATATATATATATATATATATATATATATATATATATATATATAAACAAATCAGAAAAAATCAACGAAAACAATAACAGCATTTACTCACTTTCATTTATGAGACATTAAATTAAATCACTCAGCATCATACATAGTTTACATTGACTTCTACAGACAGCCAAAGGAATGGTTATGAGAGTTCTTCAATTAAATGAAGTTTTGTTGAAAACATTGATATTGT